GGGGCTCTGACCGGCTGGCCGGGCTCAACTGCACTAGAGGTGCTTGTGTGTGTGCTTGTGTGTGTGTATGTGTGTGTGTGTGTGTGTGTGTGTGTGTGTGTGTGAGAGAGAGAGAGAGAGAGAGAGAGAGAGAGAGAGCTGTGTGAGTGTGAGTGCAGGGTATGACCCGGCCTTGAACGCGTGGGAGGCGGTGGCGCCGATGGCGACGGCTCGGGAGTGTGTTCTCTCGCAGTGTCGATGTAGCGTACAGTAGGAGTTTAGCGCGTACTCTCCTTTTTACATACATAGTCAGTCTGAGCACAGTCGTCAAGGGCACAGTAGCTTCACTCGCGGCCCCAAGGGCACACAGTCACTCAGCTCTAATTATGCGCATGCAAATGGGCGTGGAAGCGCGGAGCCCGGGGCGGCACTTGAACTCGCCGCTTTCCTCGCACACTTCGGCTCGCTCTCGCACCTCGCAGTCGCACGAGAAAAAAGTTGAGGTTTAGGTGTTTTTACGGGACGCCCTTTTAATTGAACCTTCACATTCGAGAAAGGAGTAACCGTGGCATGGACGTGTGCGTCATGGAGGTATGTGCGTGTGCGTGCTAGGCGAGCACGGCCTCGGCTCCCTGTACGGCCGAGAGGAGCATCCTCGCAGTGAGCGCCGTCCCGTGCTTGGACAGCGCCGCGGGCGATGCGGCTTCGACGTCCCAGATGGTGCGGGGGTCGCCACGTCCAGGTCTCGGGGTGAGTCCCGGGTGAGACCCGCCCCCCCCCCCGTCCCGGGGCTACTGTGATAAGCACATAGATACCTGCTAACACACGGAACGAAAATCCGTCGCTGGACGGCCGAAAAGAAGCGTTGTGGGCGGCCCCGTTTTGCCGCGTGCGTCAGTGAAGGGCGTCCCGTGTGCTGGACGTTGTCGAAGAAGTCACCACCTTCACGCTGGCATTCAAGTGCGGCAAACGTGTGTCAAAAAGGAAGCAGCCAGAGCCGGCTGCGGATCGGGTCGAGGCAGCAGCAGACAAGCTCGTCCCTGTCCTAAAGACATACCGCAAGAACAGGGGTCTAGAGCGAGAGGAGCTGCCACGCGCTTGCTCGGCCATCCGTCATCTCAGCTCGGTCCAGTAGCGGCCACCGGCCGAAGCCTACTGTGTACCATTGCCGTTGCGATAGCACGCCTGGGAGGGATGTGGCCAGAGCAGTGCTGCTGTCGCCCGCCAAATCGACCCGGCTCTCAACCAAACTGGCAGCTGGATCGACATTGATCGGATTGCCTCGCGCTCATCAAGGTGGCAAGCTCACATCGAGGCGGCTCTAATGGCGACTTTGAGGCTGCCGCGCCCGCGGAGCCGGATCCCGACGCAGAGCCGCCTCTCAACGATGGCTCAGTTGACAGCACCCACACCGGCGAGAGCGTGCTCGGGGCGCTGAGCTGGGTGCGGGCAGCCGCCCCTAGCCGACGCGGAGTATTGGGGCCAGTACTCGGGGTCTGAGTCCGTCGCGCGGCTCGCGCCTCCTCCAGTGAGGTTGAACGTGTCTCGAGGTCGACGTGGTTTATCTTCCTCGTTTAGTATATGTGTATATTGTCGAACCCTCCGCCGGACACGTGCCAGACAGAGGCCCCGGGCAGCACCCCTCCCCACCTTTTCGACCCCCAACGTGCGCCGGCCCTCTGCCACACCGCTCCGTCCTGACTGTGACTCCGTCACCGTAGAGCAAGAGCGTTGGACCGATTGAGACTGAGTGTGCTGGGTGGTGCCACCGCGAGGCTGTGAGCCCACCTGAGGTTCCGAGCTATGAAAGTGTGGCTGAGTTGAACTCTCGTCAACCTCTCATGAGTTCGGCAGCACTGGGCCTGTGCATCCAACAGTGATCAAGCGCAGGGGGAAGGGGGACAACCCGCCGCCCTCAGTTGCATCCCACCGAAGTGGTCTGATGCGCCTGCCCCATCCTAAGACTGCCGGGAAGTCATCCCTTCTGCGGTGCGTGCGGAAGAGGATAGCATGTAGTAGTGTAGCCACTCGCTTCCTGCACCCTCGGCCTCACGAGCTGTTTTCTGTCGCCCCCCTCAATCAGAGCCGATTGTGCAATGCGGCAAATTTGAGTCACCAGCCATCGGCGTGTACCTTGGCAGGTGAAGAGAACTGCATCCGCACTGCACCCGCACCAGAGGCGCCTCAACCCGTGTCCGCCACTAACTCGGATTCCGAAGGCGAAGCAGCTCGGCCGTGAGCACCAGAGGGTTATGCTCTTATAACCAGTCGAGAATGCGGCCCCAAGAGCACGGTCGGCCCAATTGCCGCAGCTTCAATTGGCTATTGCGCATGCAAATGGGCGTAGAAACCGGGGCGGCTCGCTTGAACCGGCCGCCATCCTGCAAACTCGTGGTCGCTCAGAAAAAATAGAAGTTAATAGGAAACCCTCGCCCTTCCCCGCCAGGAACGGGAGCACAGTGAATGCGCCGAGCGGGGATTCTTCTTCGCCTCAGGGTGTGGGAGAGGACGACGTCTGGTTGGTAGACGTTGAAGCTGGCTGGCTGTGTATCGCGTAACACCAATCCTCGCTACCCACCGGGGAACGATATCGCAACGAGAACCGAAAAGAATTTTACAACAGACTCCCTCGCACGACACTGGGCACGGGACTGGCGCGCACTGGCACACTCACAGGTACAACACCGAAAAAGAAAATTTCTGTGCATCGGGCGCCAAGCAGCCACTCCGCTCTCTGGGCTCTGTCAGCCTCAACCGCTCCAGTGTCAGCCTCAATCGCTCCAGCCGAGAACCGCTCCAGCCGATGGCCAAGCGAGAGCGCGAGGAGCCGCGGTGGGGGACCCTCGTGCCCCACAACCCGCAGCAGTGCGAGGGCCCGGCCCCTCTCCACGGGCGCGTCGTCATTGTCGGCCGAGAGGGCGACGTGCGAGCGCCGTGCAACCCGCATCTCTCGAGGCAGCACATCCGGCTCGAGCGAGAGGACGGCAGGGTCTACGCGACGCATCTCTCGGCGGTAAACACAACCTGGCTCAACGGATCGAGGCTCGAGCAGAACCAGCGGACCCTCGTCGAGCCATGCGCGGGCAACGCGCCGCACCAGCTGGATGGCGAGGCGGACGACGCGCCTCTGATCTTCGTCAGCGTCGTGCACGCCCGCGCGGCGCGCGATTGCATCGAGGCCGAGCTGGTCGATGGCTGGTGCGGCTGGTCGCTCCGCCTCGAGCTAGCCAACGATTGTGGCAGTGCGGCGGCTGCTTCAACGATTGTGGCGGTGGCGCCGGAGGCGGTGGCGCCGGCGCCGGCGCCGGCGCCGGCGGTGGTCGTCGATGAGGAGCCGCGCACGCAGCTTGAGCGCGTGCTCGAGGGGGGACTGCTGTGCAGCCCCGAGTACATCTGCTCCCACGATGCTTCGATTGCTCCGATCCTCTTCATCTCCCTCGACAACTCTCTGGTGAGGCGGCACGTCGCTAGCGCGCCCGGGGCCTTCACCCGCAACTGGCTCAACACGGCGGTGGCGGCCAACCAAGAGTGTGAGCGTCGCCCGCCCACTACTCTCGCCCTCGCCTCTGTAGCCCACCGAGTCCCTCCTCTTCCTGCTCAGATGCCCCGCTCGAGGAGTGGTACTACCAAAAGTTGGCCGCGCTTGCGAGCGAGGGCTACCGCCTCGTCGTCATTGGCCAGCGCGTGCAGGCCATCAGCCTCTCGCCCCCCGCCTCTCCACCCCCGCCCCCTCTCTGTAATTCCACTGGCCCAAATGCAGGCGAACCACAACCCGAACAACGCCAAGGTGCGCTGCGCCGTGCAAATGATCGAGGCGGTCTCGGTCCGTGTTGCACAGCCGCTCGAGTACGTCCTCTCCATCTCGCGGGACGTCAGCAAGACGTCCAACCAGGTCGGCTTTTGGCGCGCGATTGAGGCCGCCGTCGGCCGGCCCGTCGGCGGCAAGGACAAGTACGCCGCCGGCGTCTGCCGGCGGTGGGACCCGAGCCTGCTGGGCCACGCGGCGCCGGCCACCGACATCGACCGGCGCTTTGTGGCGTTGCGCTTGGGTCTGACGCCGTTGACAAAGAGCCAGGTTATGGCTCTTTGATGGCGTGGGGGGGGGGGGGGGGGATCGGTGCCGGTGCGCGTGCGCGGGGCCATCCTTGGTCGGTGGACATTGCGTGTCCACCCGTACAGTCTGCGAGCAGGGTTCGTGGGAATGCAGGCGGGCGTCGCGGGCGCTACATAGCGGGCAGTGGGAGCGCCGCCTCCTCACCCACTGCCTGCTAGCCACTGTACTGTTAGTGTGTCGCCCTCTTCTGTTGCGACTTGGATGCATGTGGTACTATATTAGCATGTGTCGGATGCGGCGCGCGTCCTCTAAAAAGGAGTCCTTGGCCTGGCTTTTCTTTTCTTTCAGCCTTTTCCTCGAAAGGTCTGTCGGACGCGTTCTCTGGGACACGGGACCAAGCGCAGGCGCAACCTCCCTCGGGTGCTCACAGCCCGTTGTTCGCAACCGCTACTTCAGCCCTCGATCTCCGCTCGCCTCCATCGCCTCTCCGCTCGCCTCCACTCGCTTCTCCGCTCGCCTCCACTCGCTTCTCCGCTCGCCTCACCTCGCCTCCGTGCACGAGACGCAACCATCGGCGATCGCGCCTGGCCGCCAATCTCCACCACCTGCTGCTGAGATCCCAGCGCCTATCACTATCGCACCACTCCTCGCTGGTAGGTCCACGTTGAGCACTGGCCGTGGCTTACACGCCAGTGCTCGACGGCTGCGAGAGTCTTGGGCGAGTCGCTCGGCGTGTGTCAAGGGGACCTCTCAGTGGCTGTTGAAGCTCAATAACTGCATGATGCGCGTCTCACGCCCTCGTATTGTCGGCTCACGACCTTGCACTGTCGACTCCTCTTCCACACGCCCTGTTGCAGGACTCACTCCGCTCTAACTCTCTCACCGGGCCGCTTGGGGCTTGGCTATCCTTTGTGCACCAAGGAGACACACTTTTGCCTGTACACATGCCTCCCTACTCACACTCAAATCACATACACAAGCATTCGTCTTCAGGCCAGTACACCGCCAGGAACTGATCGAAGTCAGCGTCACGGACATCGCTCACATCGCTCTTTGCGCTCTGCTCACTCGCGTGCTTCCGGGCAAAGGTGCCATGCTCGAGCCCCTCGACGCCAAGCTGGAGGAGCGCCTGCTGGAGGTCGCCGCCAAAGTCGGCGCCGTGCTCGCGGCGCAGCACCACGGTGCGCACGCGCCGCGCGTGCCGGCGCGCCGCGTCCAGGTAATGCTGCTGCGGCCGCAGCAACGCCCACGTGCCTGCCTCAGCCTTGTGTCGCACCAGCGCGTCGAGCAGTGCAGCAGGCGAGACAAAGGAGGCCGCGCCGCCGAGCGCCTCGACCATCCACGCCCAACTCAGCTTCGCCCTCACCGACCACAATTTGGTCAGGGCGCTGCGAGCGCGCTGCAGCGGCGGCGTGAGCAACACGACGGCGGACCAGTCCGCGGGCACTTCCGACCCGTGCATCCGCTCCGGCGCGTCGAATGGCGCGACGACCCACTCATCTCGCCCATAGAGCGCAGAGAGCACGGAGATTGTGCCCGTGCGGCCCGGCGAGAGGATGGCGACGCGCGCGGCGTAGTGCGACGCGACGCACTGAGGCGCGACGTGGTAGCCGAGTGCCGTGAGAGAGGAGAAGGAGATGCGGGCGGCGCCGACAACGCCCGTCGGCTGCGCGCTGCGCGAGGCGTTGGACACCGAGATCAGCGCGTTGTAGTAGTCGGACTTGTAGCGCAATCTCGGCTCCATCACGTCGCAGAGCCACCGCCTCGCAGGCGGCTCATCGACGACGGGGGGAAGGGAGTCGAGGAGCGAGCTGCGCAACATCCTAACTCCCTCCTCGGAGCACAGCAGCGAGGCGCCGCCGGCCGCCATCCAGCGGGCGGCGTCGTCGGCAGTGCTCTCCGCGGAGAGGCGGGCCTCGGCCTCTTCGACGGACGGCAGCGGCGCGCCCCGCGCGCGGGCCAGCACCAGCGCGTGCGCGGCGGAGCAGCAGCCCCGCAGCTCGCGGGTGAGGCGGCCATGCGAGTAGTTGCCGGTGCGCGAGAACCCGGCGCCCATCGCCCCACGCCCGAGACCCGTCCCGCGCATGAGGTGGCGCTGCTCGTCGTGGAACGTCCTCTCGGCCCATCCGACGGCGGCATGGTTGCCGTGGGAGAAAAGGAGCGCGAGCTGTACATGCTCGAAGGCTTCGGCGGGCGACAAGTCGAGGGAGTCGCGGCTGCCGACGCACACGCCGGCGCGGCGCAGCACCGTCGCCCACTCCTCCCCTCCGTAACAGAAGAGGCGCAGCGCCTCATTCCCCCCGGCGTTGCCCTGGAAGCGCCGCAGGTAATCGCTGGTCGCGAACACCCGCTCGATCCCTCCGTACTCCTTCCAGCGCTCGATGGCCGTCTGACTCGCCTCCATCGCGCCGAGGCGGAGAAGGTTCTCGTGCAACAGGCTGAGGCCCTTCCCCGGCGGCCCGTGCGGCGCGAGCTGCTCGAGCACGGCCGCGTGCAGCGCGGCCGCGGGCTGATTGACGGCCGCGCGCACGCTGTCCTCGACATCGACGTCGGACCAGCCCTCGGCTGCCGCGGGGGGCGGCGGCCCTGCTACTCGAACTGCATCCCAGAGCGCCTCACGGAGGGCGCGCGAGATGCGTGTGCCGGGGTCGAGCGCGCGCATAGAGGCTGCCACCGCAGCTGCAGCGTCCGAGACAGCCCCAGCCGCCGCGGCGTCGAGCCCCGCCGCTAGCAAATCGCGAGCCTCTCGCTTGCTCAGGCTGCGCGCCACCCTGAGCGGCTCTCGCAGGTGCAGCTCGCACGCCCGCCTCCACACACCATCGCGCCGCTCGAGCTCGCCCTCGACGCGCCCGCGCAGGTCACCGCCGTCGCCGAGCGCGTCGACATCGAGCGCGAGGAGGGCCGCCAGCCCGGCGGCGGCCTCACGCCGCATCCCCGCAGCGACGGCGGCATCCTCCGCCGCACCGCCTCTCAGCAGGAGCAGCGCCACCGCCGCGTCGCACATCGCCCCCGCCGAGGCGGCGATGAGCGCGCCACGAGCAGATTCAAGGACCCGACGGTGGTCGAGAGGCGCATGCCGCCGCACGTCGGGCGTCGCGAGCGCCGCCAGCTGGCCGGCTGGCGTGGGCGCCTCGAGGGCGCGCCTCGCGAGCGTCTCCTCGGTGACGCCTACAGTGACACTCCCATCTAGCTCTCGCACTGCCGCGCCCTCTCGTCTCCTCGCCTCGGCCCGCCACCTAGATCGACGCCGCCGCAGTCAGAGACGTGTCACGTTATCACCGCCGCAATCGCGTCACGCTCCCACCTAGATGACGCAATCCTGTCACGCTCATCCCACCACGCTCGCCTCCCGCCGCCGCCCGCCGCCAGGCTCGCCTCCTCCTCCTCCTCCCGCCTCGCCGCCCGCGCCCTCCGCCCCCTCCCCGCTCGCCGCGAGCTGGGCCAGCGCGTCGTCCACCTCCATCGCCTCGGCGCCGCCCGCCTCCCGCCTCCCGCCGCACAGCCGGAGCATCTGCTCAAAAAAGTCGCGCTCGTTCTTCGCCGCGTCCCGCCTCGCTTTCGCGTCCGCAACCGCGAGCCCCTCCGCCGCCCTCGCGCTCGCTGACGCCGCCCGCTCCTCGACAGCCTCGGCGATGCGCAAGCGCTCCTCATCCGCGGCAAGCACGGCCTCGGCGGCCGCGATGGCGCAGGCCCACCAGCCGGCCCGCTCGGGCGTGAGGGGGGCGTCGACGTCGACGCCTGCGCGGGGCGGGCGGATCGGCCCCGTCGGTGTATCGGGCGGTGCCCCGTGCGAGCAGTCGGGCGGGGTGGGGGAACGGGAGGAGTGGCGGTGTTTGAGACATCTGTGTGCTTCCGAGAGAGCGTCTCTGTCTGTGTGCTGGCGCCGCCTCGCCTGCCACGAGCGGGCTCCGCCGCCGGCGCGGCCCCTTCCGCTTCAGACCGCCCCCGCCCCCGTCGCGCCCCCGCCCACCGCCGCCCGCCGCACGGTCCCGCCCGCGGCCACGCCCGCCCCGCACCGCCGCGCCAGCCGGCCGCCCCTCCGCCCCGCCCGGCACCGCCGTCGCCCGCGGGCGCACCGGGCCGTGCTCCCGGACGCCCCAGCGCCCGAACGTGCGCGCCCCTCCGCCCGCAGGTGTGGGCTCTTCGCCGAGGAGCGGCGAGGGCGTCGAGGCGCCGCCAAACGCGCCGGGAATATCCTCGACGCCCGGCGTGCCAGCCGGCCTCCCCTCCGCCTCTACTGCCGGCCGCCGCCCCTCCCCGCCCGACGCCTGCACCCGGCCCGGCGGCACCGCGCCTAGCCGAGGGACGGCCCCCCGCGGCGGCGCCTGGCTCGACTGGTACGCAAACTCGGCGATCACGTTCCGCTTGCGCTGCTGCTGCCCCTCGCCCGACCCCGCCCCGCCCGCCCGCCGCTGCTCTGGCTCCTCGGCCTCGCCTCGCCGCCCCTCTCCGCCGGGCGACGGCGCCCGGGCCGGTGTCGGCGGCGCTGCGACGAGCCGAGCGACGTGCTGTGGCGACGCCGCCTGCCTCGGCTGGAAGGTGAAGTCGGAGAAGTCCAGCCGCGCGCGCGGCTGCTGCCCCTCGCCCGACCCCGCCCCGCCCGCCCGCCGCTGCTCTGGCTCCTCGGCCTCGCCTCGCCGCCCCTCCCCGCCGGGCGGCGGCGCCCGGGCCAGTGTCGGCGGCGCTGCGACGAGCCGAGCGACGTGCTCTGGCGACGCCGCCTGCCTCGGCTGGAAGGTGAAGTCGGAGAAGTCCAGCTGCCCCTCGCCCGACCCCGCCCCGCCCGCCCGCCTCTGCTCCTGCTCCTCGGCCGCGCCTCCCCGCCCCTCTCCGCCGGGCGACGGCGCCCGGGCCGGTGTCGGCGGCGCTGCGACGAGCCGAGCGACGTGCTGTGGCGACGCCGCCTGCCTCGGCTGGAAGGCGAAGTCGGAGAAGTCCAGCTGCCCCTCGCCCGACCCCGCCCCGCCCGCCCGCCCCTGCTCCTGCTCCTCGGCCGCGCCTCCCCGCCCCTCCCCGCCGGGCGACGGCGCCCGGGCCGGATGCGACGGTGCTGCGTCGAGCCGAGCGACGTGCTCCGACGACTCCGCCGGGCTCGGCTGGAAGGACAGCGCCTGCCGCTTGCACGGCCCCCCCTCCCCCTCCCCCTCCTCCCCCTCCTCCTCCTCCCCCTCCTCCTCCTCCGCCTCCCCCTCCTCCTCCGCCCCCGCCGACGCACCAGACAGGCCGGCTCGCGCGCGGCGCAGCAGCGCGACGCGGCAGAGCCCCACCGCCGTGCCGCACGTGACCGCCGCGGCGTTCCTGCGCGTGTCGGCGATCGCCGTGACGGCGCTGCGGCACGCGCCCGCCAGGTCGAGGATGGCGGCGACGAGGGGCCGTGCGGCCTCGGGCTGCGGCGGGGCGGTGGCCTCGCCAGGCGAGCCGTCGCCCGTCTGCGCGTGGGCGCGGTGGGGTGCGGGTTGGAAGGACGGGGAGGGTGCGGCCCGGGGCGAGTGGGCGTGGGCGTGGGCGTGTGTGTGGGGGGGTGCGTGTGCGTCTCTCTCTAAAGTGTCGGGATGTCTACGGTCCAGACCCCGCCGCCGACCGCGATGTGGGCCAGGGCCTCGCCGCACTCGCCGCTCGTCAGCCCCTCCACCTCGCTGAGCAGCCTCGGCAAGACGCACGCCTCGAGCGCGAGCTCGCTGAAGTAGAGCGGCACCTCCAGCAGCGGCCGCAGCTGCGCGAGCCCCGGCCTGGCAATGCGTGCGAGCGCCGCCCTGACCGCGCCACGCGTCGCGAACTGCGTCCCCGGCGGGACGCGGCACAGCAGGGGCGCAAGCTCGGACGCGCACGTCGCGCGAGCCAGGTCGTCGGGCGTGGTTGCGGGCCCGACGGCGCCTGTGCCAAGAGAGGCGAGGGAGCACATGATGCGCTCAGACACGCGCGCGGCCCCACGGCGCGTTCGGGGGCGCACACCGGCGGGCATCAGCCGGCGCGTCTGGAGGAGGGCGAGCGGCGAGTCCGATGTGGCGCCGGCGAGCGAGTCGGCGTTGCTCAGGATGCGCTGCAGGCACACGAGCAGGCTCTTCTTGTCGGCCGCGTTTGGTGAGAGGCGCTTCCGCTCCTTTGGCCAGCCCGCCTCCCATCCGTACTCGAACGTGAGCCAGAGCTTCGACTCCGACGAGCAGACGGCGCCGCTCCCCGCACCCAGGCGAAAGAAGGCCGGGTTCTGGAAGGCTAGCATCCGGATCACGTTGTACGCGCCAGAGCTCCGCATCGGTCGGTCCCTCTCGCCCGCCCCTCCGCTCGAGCCGTCGGCCCCTCCTGCGACACGCGCGCGCGCGCCGCTCGCGCCGTCAGAGAGCAAAACGGATCCATGGCGCGGGCGTCGGGCGGGGCGGAGGGCCGCGCGCCGAGAAAGGCCGCGCCCTGCACGAGGGCCCCCACGCGCACGGCCGCGGCGCGGGCCTCCGAGCCCAGGGGCGACTTGATGTACGGCTCAAAGGCGGCGGGACTGCAGGTCGTAAACGAGAGCATGAGGTTGACGAGCAGCTGGTTCAGCCGCTCCGAGCTGCCCGTGAAGGGGAGGCGGTATGTGACGGCGCCCTCTCCCTTGGTCAGCGTCGCATTCTCGCTCTCCGCCATCACGCGCCGCAGCTCAGCGCAGATGGCTGTGCGCCGCGTCTCGGAGTCAGCCATTCCCTCTCCCGGCGGCGGGCGCTGCTCGAGAAGGTCGCGCCGCGGCTCGGAGCAGAGCCCGCCGTCGAGTGCCTCTCCCGCCGCCTGGCCGCCGAGCAGCCGTGGCGGGCCGTCGCTCGCGCCGCCGCGCGTCACGCCCTCGCCCTCATAGCCGACGGCGCCTTCGCGCGGCCACTGAAGTTGAGGCGTCGAGGACGGTGTCCGCCGCGCGCTCGCACTGCCCGCCGCCGCCGTGCTTCCCGCCACCGCCGAGTCGTCCCACGAGGGTGGCACGGCGGTCGGGCGGAGGGCGTCGTTGGGGCTGCTGCTTCCCTTGGAGCTTGTCGCCGCGTCGTCCTCGGCGGCGGCGGCAAGAGGCGCGGAGCCGTGCGCTGGACGCGCCGGATGTGCCGGCCGTGCCGGGCCGCCCATGCCGCGTGTAGGCACTTCCATGCGGACCTCGCGACGGCCCCGAGTCAGCGCGGACAGAGCCCGGAGATTTTTTTCTTCGGCCGCACACAGAATTGCTGGGATGGCGCCTCTCCCGCCACTTTCACAGATTACTCCACAGGGAGAGAGGGAAACACTGGGTGTCCACTCAGGCTCCGCGCTCACGTACATCTATCTAAATTGCCCGGTCGTGGGCCGCCTCCTTCTGACTGCCAGCCAGGCCGTCTCCAACCAAACCAGAGTTGTCTCGATTTTTTGAGAAAGACGGATGGCGGCCCAAGCCGACACGACCAACGCACGTTATACACGCACGGTGCACGCTCGAAACATTTTCTCAACAATCAAGCAATCGGCGCGGTGAGCCCTTCATCACAGCGACGCCGTGAAGCGAGACTGCGAGAGACGCACGGTTACATAGCAACGGACGGGCACCTTCGTCGACTCGCTCGCTCCGCTCGCGTTGCGCAGCTGGATCTGGCTGGCTACGCACCTCGCGGCTTGCACATGAGCGGCGACCACAGCAGGCGGCGCAAGAAGAAGCGGTCTCGGCATAACGAGCGGGCGGCGACAGCCCTACCCCAAGCAGAACCGCCGCCCACACCTCCGCCGGCGCCGTGGCGGTCCACACAGTTCCAACAACCTCTACCGCGCTGGACAACAGGAGACCGACGGCGGTATGTGACCACAAAGACAGCGAGCAACGGATCCGCCCGTCGAGCTCGGCCTTCATCCTCGGCGGCTGGCTGGCACTAGCCCCGCCAACGCCTGAGGCGTCTACGTAAATCGGCCCTCGCGCTCTGCTCGCCTTGGAGCACTCGCGAGACTCCAGTGAGGCACGCTGTGAGCTCCCGCGCCGTTTCAGCCTGGTTTGGCTCGGTTTTGACACCGAATCCTCCACTGTACGGGAATCACTGCCTCGGCAATTACCGCATCACTCCTCGCTGTAGGCCCGGTGCTACAGTTGAGCACTGGCCGCGGCAAGGTCGTGTGCCCTTGCGGTCTTTAGCGTCTTCAGCGCCTTCAGCGTCTGCTACTTGCAGGTGAAAGAGCCAGCTGTTGGCGGGCTCGCTCAGGTGTGACGCATGTTTTCCTCTTGTGGCCGTTTTCTCCCTTGCCGACACACGCAAGGATCGAGATTGTGGGAGATATATAATTTAATTGGTGAGGGGAGGGGGTGTGGGGGTATGGGGGAATGTGTGGGGTGAGGAGAAAGGGGGGAGGGGGGAGAGAGGGGGGGGAAGGAGTTGTGTGTGTGTGTGTGTTTGTATGTGTGTGTGTGTGTGTGTGTGTTTGTTTGTTTGTGTGTGAATTGTAATGTTGAGATGAGATCGAGGAGTTGATCGGAGCGTTGTAGAGGTTGCTGAAAACTGAAGTTCGCCCTCGGGTTAAGGGGTGGAGCAAGCTTCCTGGCGTTTCTGGCGAGCGTCCAGACGTCGCAGAGCATCCGGCGCAGGCGCGCAGCGACCCAAATTTTTGCTCACCGCACGGCCGTGCGAGCCGTCGGTCGGTGGTGATGGTCGGCGTCGGCGCGCGCCGACCAACGCGGCTGCGGTGGGCGTCATGTGGCGGGCGTCGTGTCTAGACATTGTCCGAATTTCGGCGTATTTCAGTTGTATTCGGCGGCTAGTGGACTGTGCTGTACAATCCGAGGGCGTTCCCATGGCCTCACGGGCCCAAGTGTTCATCCCAGCCCATGCAGCATGCTGTTACTGTTTGTTACTGTTGTTACTGTCGTTTAGCGGCCAGCAAGCAGAAAATGGCAAAAACTCCGGGTAAACCCCGAAAATCGTTTTCCCGGGTATTTTCGGGGTATTACCCGCACTGGACGCTGGAGATCGTCGTGGGTCACTGCCACAGGCCTTCCTTATTGTTGTTCAGCCGGCCTAACGTTAGCTACTGTTGTTGCATGTTGGGGAGCCCCACTGTTGTTCTGAGAGAGATTTTAGAAAACCAACCAGAAATCTCTTGTTCTGTTGTTACTGTTAAAAAAAGTAACTGTGGGCGGGCGTCGAGTCCGTGTCGAGTCCGTGTCGAGTGTTTACTAGCTCCGAGTAGAGGGGGCGTTCTGCTGCTAGGGGAAACCTGGAGCGCGGAGCTAACCCTCGGAGACCCGTGTTTACTTTAAGGCCCTTGCCCTGCGAACGCGCACCCCCGGGGCTAGGGCTCTCTAGCCCGTAACCCGATACCGATCATCCGGCCCGCTGGATGCGCTTCTCAGCTCACCGGCCCTGGATGTGAGGTTGCCGACTGCACTCCAAGTGCTCCAATACAGGGTTCGCGAGGGGGGTCGCCGAGGCGCCCAGCGCGCGCGGGGAAGCTCGCAGGGCGTTGGGGTAGCTATGCCTCACGTGCAGCGCCGACGGTCGGGGTCGGCGGAGCACGCCAGCGGCAGGAGAGCGCCTGGGTCCCAGTGGGACCCGGGTCCCAATATTCGTTCCGGTCCCATTCGGGTCCCATTTGCGAGTGAAATGTCACAGTACCAGTTGCAAAATGTCACACACATGTGGGCCAAATGTCACGGGACGTACGCGGGGGCAAGCAAGGGGATTGAGGACTGGCGATTCACATGGAGGTCCCCACCGCGGCGGACGCCGCGTGAAGGGTGGCGTCGTGGGCAGCAAAAGCGAGGCGAGCGCGCGACAGAAGCGTGCGCAGTGTGGTGCTGCGGCGTAACACTAGCAACACTGTTCAGCTCCCAACGTTAAACAGCTCAAAACTAGACAGAACGGCCCCAAATCGGCCCCGGAACCGACTCGGGGCCCGTCTGCGCCGCACCCAGCTCCGCCGGGAGGGGCGCGCGCCGTTCCCCGCGGCTCGGGCGGGCCACGCAGACGCGGCGGGAGAGCTTCCCGTGCCCTGTGAGTGCCGTCACACCGCCTCAAATAGGTCCCAAAGTGGGGTTTGGCTTTGCGGTTTGCCTCTTATTAGACGGTGCTCTCGGGGCCGCGCGCTAGCCGGGTAGTTGTTTTTTGACGACAATTATTGACCGAAAAGTCAGTTTGCGATCAGATTTTCTTCACCGGAATCAAAGGCACGTACTAAACTCTCTATGTACAGGTGTCGACCGCAACGCGGGTGTCGCAACACAACGCACGCTGGCCAGCGGGAAATCTCGAGGGGGGGGGCAGATACACGGCATCGAACGGCACGCGCGGGGATCGTCACTCAACTGTACACCCGAAGTGTGTTTGATTGCTGATTGGGTCGCGCGCGCGGACCGTCCTGGGGGCTGCGAGAGCTGAGCCGCGTCCCGCGAGCAAAGTCTACCTAACGAGCCGGGTGCGACGCACGGCGGCAACGCAGCACCCCTCCACCTGCTTCGAGCTCGCGCAGCTCGCCGCTCCGTCCTCCACGCCCTTCACTCGACCTTGGCGCGCGCCGGCGGGCCACTATGGCGCGCGGACGCCTCGCCGGGCGCCTCGTCCTCGAGCAAGAGGCTCCCTCTGGCGGCGACCCACTCGGCGCCCATCCGGCCCTTGTTGCGCTCGAAGAGGTCGCGCAGGTCGCAGACGTACCTACGGAGAGGTGGACTACGGCGAGGTGGAGGAGAGCTTCTCCACACGCGCGCACACGCAGTGGTGGGGCGAGGGCAGGGCAAGGCAGTTCCTCGCGCATCTCCTCACCCAAACACAAGCAGGAGCTGGCGCCGCATTCCCAGCACCGCCCCCCGCCGCCTCTCTCCAAACGCACCTTGCGTGCAGCGCGTCCACCTCGTCGTCCGTCGGCGACTCCGTTCGCGGCACCTATCGACGCAGGGGCAACGAGTGCGCGAACGCGGCCGAGCACAGCTGATACGTACCCTCGAGCGCTTGTCCGAATTCACGGTGTCTGTGTGTCCACATCTGGGGCCCCCGCCGCACCTCGATTGGCGCGCCGAGCACGATCACCAGCTTCCCCCGCACGGGGAGGGGCGAGAAGGGGACGCCCCACCGGCCGGACCTGCAGGACATGTCTAGCACCGCTTGCTAGCGCGACTAGGGCTGCTCACTCGCACTAGTTGCCGCTGTGCCGGCACACACTTGGCGCGCGGCTACACTGGTCGCCGCTGTGCTGGCGCACCAGCCGACGCAGCGTAGGATCTCGGGCATGTCTCGGGGAGATCTCGGGCAGATCTCGGGCAGCGCACCAGCCGACGAGCGAGGTGCGCAGCACGGAGGAGAGGCGTGCGGCGAGCGAGTGCGGCCCGAACCAGCGCGTGTAGATCTGAGGGCGGCGGGGAGGCGTTGAGGCGTCGTCTCGCGCCCACCTCGGCCCCATCTCGGCTGCGAGGCGCGGCGCGGCGCCTCGTTCGCCCCGAAGACGTACGACGGCACCAGGCTCGCTCCCGTCTGCAGCGCGACGCGGCAGAGCCCCTGAACACAGGAGCAGCCCGTGAAGAGATCCCGGCGAGGCGAGGGCGCGGCGTTGCGCGCCGAGGCACCTTTCGCTTGGAGAGGATGATTTGCTCGCAGTCGGTGCCGTAAAACATCTCGGCGATGCCGCCCGGCTGGAGCTGCACCGCGTTGTACGGCCAGGGCTGGCTCAGCGCCCGCCGCAGCGGCGCCGCACTCACCATGGTCATACCCCACCACACCTGCCAGGGATGGTGGGATGGACTCCTAGGAAGTGTCGTGGAAGTGTCGTGGAGGTGTCGGGGAGGTGTCGGGGGCGGGTGAGGGCGGTGGAGGCCATGATCCGGCGGAGCAGCGGCAGCATGAAGACGACGTCGGCGCCCGTGAAGAGCGGTTTCATGCCAAAGCGCTCGCGCAGCTCGTGCGCGTAGAGGCCGTACCCGGCGCCAAACAGACCGTGCGGGTGAGACACGATGAGGTGCGAGCGGTCTCTGCGGAAGTCGCCCTCAATCACGCACTCGGCGTCAAAGTACGACCGGATGCCCTCCGCGACGCGCGTGAGCTCGCACCACGCCACCCACGGTCGCCCCGGCCGCAGCGGCACCGCGTAGTCGACGAGCGCGAGCGCGAGCAGACCGCGCGAGACGGCGTCGCCCAGCCAGGCCGCGTAAGCCACCGCCGGGATGACAATCACGACAAAGTTGCAACCGAGGTAGAAGGCAAAGATGCCGATCATCTTGAGCTCGCTCCACCAGGCCGAGAGCCCAGACGGCCTGGTGAGCGACGCGGGCGGGCGGGAGCACATATGTGTGTACATTGTGAGTGTATGGTCGCTCGGCAGGAATCCACAGACGAATCCTCGAAAAAGAAAATATTTTCGCTGCGCATTCTGCCGACAACGAACTGTGTGGTGGCGGCGTGCCGTTCTCCCATCCCTCCATTGGTTTCTCTGTTTTCTTTCTTTCTTTCTTTACAACGAACCCCAAATGTCACAGTTCGACCAAAAGAAACCAAGCGCGCTTCTTAGCGCTGGGTTTCTTGCCTCGCTGTCGTGGGATCGTCTTGTCCTCCCCGACATGACATGACATGACAGAGTGTCGCTTGTAATGCGAGATCGTTGTGTAAGGAGTTTGGCCTCTGCCACACGTACGGCCGCTTCTGTCCGTCCATGCTGCCGTCGGCGCAGCGCATCCCGCCTATTGGCGACCTCTTCACGCAGCAGAGCACCTCTCCACTTAGGGGACCCCTAGGGTTCTGAGGGCCGGATTTTTTTAAGACCTTTTAAGAAACGAGGAGGTTTGAGGGCTTAACTTGCCATTTAAGAGATTGCAGGCACGGGGGGGCGCTCTTTTAACAGTTTAAGAAAATCGGCCTCGCCGGCATGCCGTCGCTGGGTTCCGCGCCGTTTTCTCCAATACTGCCGTTATTAGGCACAAACCCGCCTCTGAAGACACATCTGTAAGTCTGGTGCACTGGCAGGAGCCATACTCGCATAGGGGACGCGTGCTAGCTGACTGTAGCCCGCTTCCCGGCCTCCGGCGTGTCTACCGGGAGCCTCCCGGACCATCGACCTCGGGAGCTCTCCCGCACCGTTTAAGCGGGTTAAGACCGTTTAAGGAATTGGCGGCCCAGCAGCTCTTAAAACTTGCCCGGGCAAGTTTTAAGCCGTTTAAGCCGCAGGCGCCCCAGGGCCCACCCTTTTAAGCCTAGGGGTCCCCTAAGCCTCTCCAGTCCCGAAACAGGTCACGCTCGCTGCTGTCGGGGCCCACGAAGCGTGGATCGCGTGCCTGGCGGCGTGCGAGGAGATTGACAAAAACACGCCGCAGTCGGAGGCGATTAAGTCCAGGGAGGCGACTCGCTACATCTCGATCTCCCAGTTCGGCGCCGCTGGATGGCTCGACATGCGCCCTGATGGACTCCACCACACACGAAGATGGTGTCGGCGATGTTCCTGACGGCGATACAGCGCAGGCACGGGCTCTACTTGTCGGTGATTGCGCCCACATTCGTCGAGAAGGCCGCCGCGGGCGTGCACGTCACGGAGGGTGAGTACAAGGGCGACTCCCTCGCCAACTCCAACAAAGGCGGCCGCACCTCCAAGCACAATGGGGTGCTAAGGGCCGCCCAGAATATGCCATCCGGGCGCGCTCGGTTGGCAGCATCATCCTCGGGCACAAGGAAAAGCCCGAGGTGACGCGGCACCTCAACGACACGTCCGTGACTGACATCTGCGAGCTCGGCGGGGGGTGACTTTGCCACGATGGTCGATGCGGGGCGTGCATTACGAGGTCAAGTGCTGGAACCCGCTCATCAAGTCGACGACGTCGGGGAAGGGGCTCGTGGGACAATGGTGGCAATGTGGCGTCGGTGGGCCACCTCTACGGGTTTGGAAACACGCTGGACAAGGCGTTGACGGCGGTCGTGGGGTGCAAGGAGCGTCCGTGGCCGTCAGGTGGACGGACCGCTCGACCACTCGACTGGAAACGGATGGGTCAAAGACCACGCGTATGGAGACGGGTGGGTCAAGAAGAATGCAGGCTGGAAGTGGATGCAGGATGGGGGCGCAGTACTACGTCTACGACGCGAAGTGGGTCAAGAAAGCCATAACGCGGCTGATGCTCGTGGAAACTTTGAGTGGCATTCGATTGCGCCGCCCACCAAGCAGATCCTCCACGTGTTCGCCAAGGAAGCGGTGGGCACCAACACGGACCGGCCGGTGTACGGGGCGGCGTCGGCGAGCGCCTCCTCCTTCGTCGTCCACCACACGCAGCAGATCTCCATGGCGGCGGTGGCGGGGGCGACGCCGACAACATCAACAAGCAGGCGCGCAAGATGCGCACCAAGTGGATCAAGAACAAGCAAGCGGCAAACGGCCTCTTGACCTCTCTGCGGACGGGCCCCTCCACCCTTCACGTGTACGGATCATGTTCATGTAGTCCCCACAATCGCTGTCGTGGGATCGCTTGTCATGTGAGAGAGTGCGTTGTGTTCTTGTTTCGTATACGCTTTCTTCTTTTTTACTTGGCTCGCAACAGGAAAGAAAGTCGCAATTAGATGTACTCCCTTCACGGCGTCTTAGTGGCGAGCCCGCTAAAAATGCTTGCCCCGGAGCCCCGGCTCCTCGGCTACGCCGCCTCCCTGGCCTCGCTCGGCTCAGGCTTCATTGCGGTCGGGGCACCACGGCACAACGGCAAGACGGGCGTGGTCGACATCGCTCACTCGTCCCGTTTGAGGACCTCAGCCGGACGTCTCTTTGGCGAGAATCCCGGATGCCTGTTCGGGTCGGCGGTTGCGGTGCTGGTGCAATGGCCGCGGCGAGCGGTCGTCGCGGTTGGCGAGCCGTGTCCAGAAGAACCGACGGGGAGGGTTTCTATCGTCGAGCTCGAGCTTCGCGCCGGAGGCACCGTCGTCGCGGAGAAGAACCGCGTGGACTCCGGGTTTCTTTTTGCTATGTCGGCCTCGCTCGCGACCTCACCATTGGACCCTGCCCCACCGCCGCCACCTCCCACCACCTTCGAGGACCTCCTGTGCTGCGACGTGATCAGCTGCGTCGTCGGCCACCTCCACTCCCTCGCTGATATCGCCGCCGTGTGGCGGTGCTGCACGCCCGAGGCGCCTGCGGCGCTGCACGAGGCGGCGCTCGCTCGAGCTGGGAGCGTCGCCGCGGGAGCCGCCCCGCTCTGGTCGGCGCACTCCTCCTTTGCGGAGTGCGCGCTCTGGCCACTCTCCGTCCCCGCGTGTGACTGGCACCCGCGGCCCTTCTTCGCGGCGCTGCGGGCGCCGGCATACTGCCGCGTCGCTGGCTCGGGCGCCTGCTCTCACGGGCTGTGCCAAAAGCAGGAGACGCCCAAGCCAGGCGTGCTTGAGCTGCTTGAGGCCGTCGTCGCCTCCTCCTCTCCCGCCGAAACGGGCGCCTTGGCCGCCGCCGTCGACACCACCGCGACCGCCGCGCTCGAGTGCATCGCATTCCTGTGCGGCGCCCTCGGCCGGAACGACGCCGCCCGGCGAGCGTGGAGCCGCGCGGCGGCGGCAGACTCGCCGCGCGCGCAGCTCGACCTTGGCATCAGCAAGTACACGCGCGGGCGCGCCGGCGAGCGCACTGGCGACGGCGACGAGCCGCCGCGATCCGCGTCCTCGCTGCTGCTCGCCGCCTCGCGCAGCGCGCGCCTCCCCGGGCTGGGCCTCGAGGGGCTCGCCATCAAGGCCCGCGCGCTCGTGACGCTCGGAATGATGCACCTCGACGGCGACGGCGCCGAGCAGGACGACGCGGCGGCCGTCGAGTGCTTTCAAGGCGTGGTCAGCGCCCACCGCGAGGCCAAGGCGGCGCTCGCAGGCGTGCAGCGGAGAGGCGTCCGGTCGCGCAAGGAGTGCACGCCGCTGCCGACGGTCAGGCTCACCCGGCCCGCGCCCGAGCTGCCGCTGCAGGGCGAGGCCGCCTGTGCGGTCATGCTGCTCGGCGCGCTGCGGACCGCCGAGGAGGATGCGCGCGAGGTGCTGGAGACGATGGACCGGTTCACCTTCTTTGCAAACGGCAGGCCGTGACGATGGCCCTCTCTCGCATGCGCGTCTGGTTCATTGTTTTGTTGTTGGGTTCTTGGGGAGCACTGTTTGTGGGTGCTGGGTACGCTTTACCTTTTCCTTTTTTGTAAATTCAAAAATTGTATATGCTCCAGGTCGAGATTCCGCGCGAGATTCAGCATTTATTTTTCTCGCACGAAATCCATGTGTGTGGCGTTGCCGTTGGCCGTTGAGCGGCATACGTGTACCACTCGAGGGACGACCAGGAACCGTGAGTTTCATCGGCCAAATCAAGATCCGCCCGACATGAGCTCCTCCCACCGTTCTCGCGCGGCTGCTCGAAGGGCGCTCTTCGCGCCGTAGGAGATCGCCACCGCCTCGGCGCACGCCTCCATCTGCCGCCGCGCCTCGGCCGCGTCGCCGCTCTCGAGCTCGAGGTCGCAGAGGGTGAAACGCTGCAGCGCGAGGAGGGCGTGTGCGGGCACGTGCGCGAGGGCCGCCTCGAGGAACGAGACGAGGGCGCGGCAGCACTCGAGCGCCGCCGCGTTGTCGCCGCACAGGAGCGCGGCCGAGAGGCACCGCCCCTCCGCCTCGTACCTGTGCGGAGGGAGGCCGCGTCCCCAGCTGCTTGGCCGTGGTCTGGGATCTCTTCACGGGCGGCCGGCTACTCGTGTGTGGTGCGGGAGGGACGGCGGTGGAGTGGATGGAGGAGGTGCGGACGGAGGCGGCGTGGATGGAGGCGGTGCGGACGGGAGGCGGTGTGGGTGGTGAGGGGACCGCATCGTACCGCAGCGTCGAGAGCCGGTGGCAGCACGCCCGCCGTATCGCCACCGCCTCGCCGCACCACCGGAGCTCCTCCTCCACCTCCTCCTCCTCGGCGGCCCGACGCAGCACCGCCGCCGCTCGCTCGAGCCGCGCGGCAGCAGCGGCGCCGTTCGCCTCGCCTGATCACCGCACCAAACGGCGTGAGCAGCCGCGGTCGCAGCAGCCACGTCGGCGCAATCCGCCTCGCCCAACGATGGGTGCGGCGCCTCCATCGCGGCGTCGACGTCCTCGCCCGCGCGGCTCCGAAGCCCGCCTGACAGGAAGGCTCCGAGACGGTTCAAGGGAGGCTGGCGGCACTTGTCGCCACTCGTCGCTCCGCCGCCCGCCGCTGCAGCGCACGCAGGCGCACTCGAAGCCGTACCGCTCTCGCAGCTGCGCCGCGCGTCTGAACGGGTGCGGGTGCGGGCGGGGTGGGCGAGGCGAGTCTGGGGAGCGACGAGGCAGTCTCTGCAGCAGTGTCTGTGCAGCAGTGTGTGTCTGTGCAGCAGTGTCTGGTCAGTGTCCAGGCAGTGTCTGGGAGGGGAGTCTCTCCCGCGCCTCGCCGTCGGCTGGCAGAGCTCGACGTACGAGTGGCACAGCTCCTCGCCGGCGTCGACATCGCGGCAGGTTCGCACCTCGAGCCGCGACCCCTCGTAGTAGAGCACCGCGTTCGGCGCGCAGCTGTGGTTGAGGAGGGCAGCGGGCGGGTAGCAGCCCGCGCCAACCACCGACAGTAGCTCGTTGGTTACGCCGAAGTTGTTCACGCGGAACTGGCTGAGCAGCCGCGTGGCGTCGCCCGCGTCGCAGCTCGGAGGGAGGAGGCCCGGCAGTGTCGTCGCAAAGCGCGCCAGCGCACGGTCGCTCTCTGTCGGCCGGGACGTCTCGAGCGCATCGAAGGCGGCGTCCTCATCGTCCGGCGAGCTGGCGTCGTGCCGCCGCCACGCGCAGCGTCCCAGCAGCAAGAGGTCGGCGACGGGTGCGTCGTCCAGCCGCAAGAGCTCGCCGCCCTTGGAGGCGAGCGTGCGGCACTCGCGCTTGTGCCGCTGCCAATCGCCCGCCTGGCACTCTCGTGAGCAGTAGCGCGCCCACCGGCACTTTGAGCAACGCAGGAGGCACCCAGGCGCCGCCGGCGCCTGGGCAAAGCAGCGACCACAGACGCGCTCGCGCTGTGACGGCAGCGGGCAGCACGCGTACGGCAGGCCAGAGAAGCGTGGCACGGGGCTGCCGGCCGGCAGGCGGCGGTCGGCGACAGCGCAGCGGCCGCGCGTGGCGCGCTGCTCAATCATTCGTGGTCTCGGCCGCGGCAGCAGGGCAGCGGGGCAGGCTTGTGGTTTCTTTATAACTTTTACTGTACTGTACGAAAGTGTGAACAGGTTGGAGCAGCGGCTCCTGACCACGGCGCCGCAGGCGCCTGTTGATGGGTCCAGGTGATAGCCCTGGATGGGCAATGCATACGCCTCACTGGGCCTTAGATCGCCCGACCGCGTCCCGGTGCTCTGCCGTCGGATTTGTGACGCCGCCGCACCGCGCCGCGGCCGGGGGCCCGCCGGAGGACGAGGATGGCCGTGGCGGACCGGGACGAGCTCTGGGAGGTTCAGTGTCAGTGAGTATATTGTAGAGGCCACCCATGTGCACAATATCTTGACTGAGAGCTAAGCCAGGGGAGGCGATGCCGGGGCCGTACAGCAGCTTGATGGTGCTTCGCCGGCGTGCGTCCCGGAGCGGTGCCGGACGGGCGGTCCTGGGGAGAAAATCCGGGGACAACGCCGACGGCGCTCTGATTCGACTTTTAACTTCAAACAAAGACAGTCGCACGCGCCGCAGCGCGGCGCGTGCGACTGTCAGCGGCGCGTGCGACTGTCAGGAGCGGATCCGTCAGTTAGTCGTGTTCACGCCGGGATCGTGTCCCCGACAACCTGCCCAGACTTTAGGCTACGACAGTATTGACAACGCGATCGAATGCCAGTCACCAGTGGTGGGAACTGCGGAGCGGGAATTGAAAACCGCAAAAAGTTCCTGATCGCAAACCCTGTCAGCAGTTCACCTATATGTTCGTAAGAGCTACATACACTGAAAATCAAACCCTGTCAGCAGTTCACCCTCGGGTACGTACTGTGTGTGTCGGGTATGTTCGTAAGAGCTACATACACACCAGTGAGGGAGGGCGAGACGATCGAGGGGTCCCGTACCACGCGGAATCGGCCCTATCCAGTGCTCAAGTGCTCAAGAGCTACATACACTGGACACACACCCCCTCTCCCTTTTGTCCCAGTAAGCTAAAAGTACGTACACCTTAAAAAAATATATACTCCGGCACGCCGAAAGTGGAGCTAAAAAGTCGTCCTTGACTTCTCAGCGCCCTGACGGCCCGCCGATGGCAGACCCGACTCCCTCCATCCGCATGGCGCCGCCCGATGGTGCCGGTAACCCTATTCCGGAGCGGTTTCTCCTAGGGTTAGCGCCGAAAAAGTCGGCTCCCTTAGCTCCGGCTAGGGCTAAGGGGCCTCCGCAGCCGACCGCGAGGAAGGGCCGACTTTGGGTTAGCATAGCGGGCCGATAAGGCCGCCCACACCCGCGAGGATGGTTGTGTGTTTGCCTCCCCGACTCGGACGGCCGCCTCAGAGGGCGGGAGTGCTTCCTCTCGCCCTCTCACCCGCGGGAGATGGCCGAGTCCACGGAGCCGCACGCTGCCTCTCCTTGGACGCAAGGCTCCGACTTCTATAGAGAAAACCCCATCTGCACCAGCGTTTTAAAGTGAAATCGTCAAGAGAAATCGATGCCCCGGGCTGGGCTTTGGTTGGGGTAGGCAGCCACCCTTTCGAAGGTGAGGCGTATCTGCCGACCTGTGAAGACGCTTTACTTGCGAGCAGTGCGTGGACCAGATGGCACGAGGGCACCGCAACATGGCTAAGTAAGGAGGCAGGGAAGCTTCTGCTCCGAGACGGCCGCTCAGGACCGCAAAATGGTGTTCCTGAAGGTTGTGTCAGTCGGGCTGGCCAGTCCCCGGGGCCTGACGGTCCAATGTTTCCCTCAAGAGTACTTCTCCCCTACCCCACCCTTCCACTTTAGATGTGTCGGACCATATACCAAAAAGTTCAAGTTTGGCGGCGTCGAGCGTGCCGCGACAATCGCCGCCTCTCTCGGCCATGAGCTGGAGCTGGTTCGGCTCATTGTTTGGAGAGAGAGAGGCTTCTGAAAATCTCTTCTCTTCGTTTGGCGGCTTGCCGAGCAACGCGACACCGGTTGCCCGTGCGCCGGGAGTTCGCTTCCTCATCGCCGCCGCTGACTCGAACGATCCCGGAGCAAAGGTCCTTGGAGATCTGCTCAACGCGCACCCGCAAGTGGCAAGCTTCAACTGCAGCGGTGGGTGGCGCGTGCCGAATGTGTGCAGCTGCAGGTGCAACCTTGGCGACCCACGCGTCGTGGCGTGGAGTGAGCGTTCCTTCTTTGGCGCGGCTCGAACCAAGCCCGGACAGCCCGGGAGATATGTGGACGCGGTGGGGATCCGCCTCCAGCCGTGGAAGCTGCCGCCCGGGGCGACGCAGCCCTTCATTGCGCGCCACAGACTTCGGATCGTCTGCAGCTATCGCAAGAACGTCTTTTGGCAAGCTGTCCACGCGTGGGAGGCGACGCAAAAGTCACAGAGCACGGTCATTCCGTCGAGGGAGGTTGAGTTGATGGCCTACGCCTTGCGCTCAACGAACAGTCGCAACGAGAAGTGGTGCCACCGGCAGGAGGCCGATGGGGTGCCCGTGTTTCACGTGCCGTACGAGCAACTCGCGGGGCCCGAGGCACCAGGCGTGCTTCGCCAGTTGCAAGCATTCCTCGGCGTGCAGCCGCTGCCTCCCGGTAGGTTACTAAACAACAGCCTGCGCGACCGACACCTACCCAACATGGAGGAGCAGCCCGCGCCCCCTGCAATCGACCGGTCCATCGTCGAGCCGCCGCCGCAGGAGGGATGGGCCTCTCTCGCGGCCCAGGCGGAGCTTAACCGCGCGCACCTTGCGAGTTTCATCGGCTCCGTGCCAGCAAGCTCGGCGCCGTGAGTGAGCGGGCGGATGAATTCTAGTGTCCGTTGCCACCCAGTGAGAGTCAAAAAAAAAAAGAAACGGCGGATGCGGAGTGATTCTGAGATCAGGTTGGGCGACTGGCAGACATTTCAAAAATTTGGCGCCGCAGGCGCCCGCTGCGTGCCCACCATGGTTGGGCGCGCAGCGAAGAAAATTTTGCGCTCTCGACAGCCTTTTCTAATAGGAAAATGGCCTCTACTCGGCGCCATACCGCTTGTCGGCGCACAGCGGAGTTCGCAAGCCGGACCTGCTGCCTTCCCTTCTACGTACACTTTCAGAATGGAGGCTCAAACGCAGCGCAGGGCTCAGACCAAGTGCAAGTCGATTTGTACCACAAAGTTGGTAGACAGTGCCAAAACCGCGGAACCGAAAATGGCGTTTAATTTCGCGCACCTGCTGTCCGCCGCCTGTGGCGGCGCTCCGCACCGCTTGAGGCGCCTGCGGCGCCCCTGGCGGCGCGCTGTCCGCGCGCCCCTCTGTGGTTTTCGTGGGAGGCTCGGCTCTCGTAAGTCTCGATTTGTACAGGATTTCGACGTTAGTGGCAAAACTGCGGAACCGAAAATGGCGTTTAATTTTGCGCACCTGCTGTCCGCCGCCTGCGGCGGCGCTCCGCGCCGCTTGGGGCGCCTGCGGCGACCCCCTGGCAGTGGCAGCAGTGGTGTGTACGGCTGCGGGTGCGCCCGGTACACAAAACCGGCGCTCTATGGCGTGCTCCGGGGGAGCACGACTACGCAGTCGTGGCTTCCACACGCGAGAGAGTGGCTTCTATATTTACGAAAACATTGGGCGTCCCTAGTGCCGCATCCATAAGAAGTGACGTCACGGTTCCAGGAGCGCCTGGCGGCACAGCTTAGAGTGGCAGCCGAGCGCCGGCCACGACTATCGAGTCGCCGTCGCGGAGCTGAGGGCTGGCCGACGGGTGGCGCGGTCTTCCTCCCAGCGCCGCCCATCGGTCAGCCCTCAGATCGATCGATCGGCGCTCAAAGTCGCTTCAGATCCGAGAAAGCTGCTGGCGCCGCTGCCGATCCCAGCCGCGACGCCAGCAGCTTCCTCTGCTCTCCAATGCGCCGAGAAGCGACGCGGCGGTGCTCGGCTCGCCATGCACGATGACGGCTCCGCTGGGTGCTCGTCGGCCGGTCCGGTGGCACCCTATTCGCGCGTCACCTGCCGGCGTCCCGACGACAGCCTCGCGCCGCCGCTGATGGAGGGGCGGTCGGCGCCACTGCCGCCGCGCCGCCGGTGGGAGAGGCACTGGTGGTGGCCTGGGCGGCCCTCCGCCGCCGCTCGGCGCGCCCGGGCAGCGGTGGCAGCCTGCGCCGCCCCCGCTTCGAGCGGGCGCCCCCGCTTCGAGCGGGCGCCCCCCCGCTTCCAGCGGGCGCCCGGGACGGGTTCCCCGCTTCGAGCGGGGAGATGCGGCCTGGGATTCGCTTTCTGAAATGTCTGCCTCCAAAGGGGAAACGACTAACCTGATCTCAGAATCACTCTGCGCCATGGGGCATAATGGGGCCGGAGAAACGGCATAGTCCGCCTCCCACCACACACAGACAACACATAACAACAAACACGCTTCTTATAGAGCCTGCTTAGCGCTGCGTTTGCACACACGCTGGCGTGACGCTGCTGGCAGACAGTCGTGCTTGTTGGTTCTTTCGCTTGCTTGCTTGGACACCAAGAAGTGGCGGCCAGGGGGCTGCAGAAGCAGCGACCAGCGTATCTCAGTCGTTCTTCACAGCCTTGTTATTGAGAAGAAATACCACACAGCTCACAGGTCACAGCCATCGCGAATCTGACCCGCAATGAGCTTTCCTGCGGTTGCCCTTGGAGCACTTGGAGTGCAGTTAGCAGCCGCACATCCAGGGCCGGGGAGCTAAGAAGCGCACCCAGCGGGCCAGATGATCGGCATTTGATTGTGGGGACTACATGATTACATGAAGGGTGGAGGGGCGATTTGCCGGCGAACATTCTCGCTCCTGTGGGCAGTTCTCCGCATCCCGGGTAGAGCGAGCTCCCGAGGTGCTACCCGCTGCGCGCATTGGACTCCAAGTCGATACGAGCGCGCCGCGCGTGGAGCACGCGGCGCGCTCGCATCGATTCGCCACTTCCATCCAGCGTGACCGCCGTGAGGTGGTATGTAAATAGCTTCAAAGAAGGAGCAAGCGCACCAGCGACACAAGGGCCCTTTTACTACCTAGTAATCAAAGCACTTTTTTTGTCCGCGGCGCCAGACCGATCACCATGTCCGACGTGCCCGCCATTGATGAGGACCTGCAGTCGCGCCAGATGGCAGTGTATGGCCGCGAGGCGATGCAGAACCTCAAGCGTGCGAACGTGCTCATCTCTGGCCTAAACGGCCTGGGCGCCGAGGTCGCAAAGAATGTGATTCTCGCCAACGTCAACTCGGTGACGCTGCACGACGCCTGCGCCGCCGCGCCGGCGGATCTGGGCTCGCACTTTTACCTCAGCGCGGCAGATGTCGGCCGGAACCGCGCCGAGGCGTGTGTGCAGCTCATGCAAGAGCTCAACCCGTCGGTCCGCGTGGCGGCGCTCAGCGGCACGTTCCCGACTCAGCGGCTGGCAGAGTGGAACGTGGTGGTGGCGATCGACATGGCGGAGGCGGACGCCGTCAAGCTGGACGCCCTCTGCCGCGCCGCCTCGCCTCCGATCGCGTTCCTCCGCGCCGACGTCCGCGGCCTCTGCGGCTCGGTCTTTGTCGACCTCGGCCCCGAGTTTGTGTGCGTCGACCCGACTGGCGAGGCGGTCAAGTCCGCCATTGTGGAGCGGGTGGACGTGGCCGGGACGAGCGCCTCGGGCGAGACGAAGCTGACCATCCAGTGCGTCGACGACGAGCCCCTCGATCTCGACGACGGAGATCACATCTCCTTCTCCGAGGTGTGCGGCATGACTGGCCTCAACGGCGCCGGAGCGCTGCCCGTCTCGGACGTCTCCAAGGGCAAGAAGCGCTTCAGCGTGACGGTGCCTGCGGCGCAGCAGCTCGGCGGCGAGTACACGCGCGGCGGCATCGTGACCGAGAGCAGGCAGCCAAAGCGCCTCTCGTTTCGCCCCCTCTCCGACTTTCTCGCGCTGCCCGGCGAGCTAGCGGAGGCGGACGAGTCCAAGATGGCGCCCGCCGCCGTCGCGTTTGAGGAGGAGTTCTTGACGGTCATGGGCAGCCCGGCGGCCAACGTCTGCTACGGCCGCTCCGGGCTGCTGCACCTCGCCTTCCGCGCGCTCGACGCCTACCGCGCGGCACACGGCGGCGCGCTGCCTCCGCCGGCGGACGACGCGGCGGCCGAGGAGCTGCTCGGCTTGGCGCGCGGCATCAACGACACGGCGCCCGCCGACGCCAAGGTGAAGCAGCTCGACGACCCGAGCCGGAGCGGAGTGGTCCGGCTGCTCTCGCGCGGCGCCTGCGCGGTTCTCTCTCCGATGGCGGCCATCTTCGGCGGCGTAGTCGGCCAGGAGGTCATCAAGGCCGCGACGGGCAAGTTCCACCCGATTGTGCAGGGCTTCTACCTGGACGCGCTCGAGTGCGCGCCCGAGTCGCTCCCCCCGGGCGAGGTGTCTGCCGAGGCGCTGCACGCGGCGGGGAGGTACGCGGCACAGGCGGCCGTCTTTGGCAGATCCTTCGTCGGCAAGCTGCGCGAGCTCAACGTCTTTTTGGTCGGCTCGGGCGCGCTCGGCTGTGAGTTCCTCAAGGGCTTCGCCATGCTCGGCGTCGCGTGCGGCGACGGCGGCAAGCTCGCCGTCACCGACGACGACATTATCGAAAAGTCGAACTTGTCGCGCCAGTTCCTCTTCCGAAACCACAACGTGGGCCAGTCCAAGTCGCTCTCCGCCGTGCAGGCGGCCCGGCCGCACGGGGCGGCGCCGCCCGGCCCTCTGTCCGGCCGCCCGGCGCTGAGTGTTCGCGTCGCCCGTGTGCGCAGGCCGTCACGCGGATGAACCCGGAGCTGCACGCGCGCGCGCTGCAGGACCGCGTCGCGCCGGAGACAGAGGGCGTCTTCGACGCGCCCTTCTGGCGCTCCCTCGACGTGGTGGTGAACGCGCTCGACAACGTCAAGGCGCGCCGCCGCGCGCCTCAGAGCCGCGCGCCTCAGAGCGGTGCCGCGCGCGCGCGCGCGCGCGAGTGGCGGCGGCCCGCCCCTCCCACCCGCGCCGTCCGCCCGCCACCCGCGCGCGCCCCCCGACACAGGATCGGATCCCTCCCTGAAGCTTCTTGCAACCGTCCTGCAGGCGCGTCTCTACGTCGACGGCCGCTGCGTCCTCTTCACAAAGCCGCTGCTCGAGTCGGGCACGCTCGGCGCAAAGTGCAACACGCAGGTCGTGCTGCCGCACCGCACGGAAAACTACGGCGCCTCGCGCGACCCGCCCGAGAAGCAGGCGCCTCTCGCCACCGCCGCCCTCCCCACCACACCCCTCGCCGCCGCCACCGCCCCTCCGCATCCCTCGCCACCTCCCTCGCCCCCGCCACCATCGCCGCCACCCAGCCCACCTCCGCCGGGTCCGCCGCCCGCACCGCCGCCGCCCTCTCCTCCCCCCACGCCGCCCCCGCCTTCGTCGCCGCTTCGCAGGCGCCACAGTGCGCCGTGCACAACTTCCCACACAACATCGACCAGTGCCTCGCCCTAGATGCGGAAAACAGATCGCTTTATCCCGATTAGCACTCGATAGGACACGATTCCGCTGTGTTCCACTGCACTCCGCTGTACTCCGCTGCACTCCGCAGCACTCCGCTGCATTCCGCTGTAGTCGTGGCCGTCGAGTATTCGCGCGAAGCTCCGAAAACACGGCACGATACCGCATGCCTGACGTTCGGTGTACTCTTGACGTAGGTGCCTCGTGCTCGCCCACTCGGAGTTCGTGGGCAACTTCGACACCGCGCCGCGCGAGGTGTCCGACTTCCTCGCAAAGGGGCCAGAGTGGGTGGCCGAGCTGCGCGCCGCCGGCGAGAACGACGAGTCCATCCTCGACAAGCTCCGCGGAGACGTGCGCGTCACCTGCGGCGCGCCCGGCGGCTGCATCGACGTCCTCGTCGCCGAGCGTGCCACCACCTTTGCGCAGTGCGTCGGCTGGGCGCGCCGCCGCTTCGAGACGTACTTTCACAACCGGTGCGCCCGCCCCCCCTTCGTACCCCGCGCGCGGCGACGCCCCTCCCGCCCGCAGCCCGCCCCGCCCGGCGCAGCTTGATCGCGCAAGCTCTTCTCAACTTCCTCACCCGTCCCTGACCCGTCCCTGAAGCCCTGCCCGACCCGTTCCCTGAGCAATCCCTGCAGGATCGCGCAGCTCCTCTTCAACTTCCCGCCCGACGCAATCACCTCCCAAGGCGTCCCCTTCTGGTCGCCGCCCAAGCGGCTGCCCCGACCCCTCGCCTTCGACCTGGGCGACCCGCTGCATATGCAGTTCGTGCTGGCGGCGGCGCGGCTGCGCGCGCACCTCTTCGGCCTCGCCCCGCCCTCGCCGGACGCGTGGGGGGAGAGCGAGGTGCGGGCGCTGCTCGCCACGCCGGACGCGGCGGTGCGCCCGCCCGCCTTCTCGAGGCCCTCGACGGCCGCGCCCGCGCATCTGAGAGGGGTCGCGTGCGAGACTGCAGGTGCCTCCCTTCACGCCGGCGATGGACGCCTCCATCGAGACGGACAACAAGGAGGAGGACGAGCGGCGCAAGGCCAAGGCCGCCGCGGAGGCCATCCCCGACGAGCAGAAGATCGCCGCGGCCACCGCCGAGCTGGCGGCTGCGCGCGGCTCGCTGCCGGCGGGCTTCAAGGTGGTCGCCAACGAGTTCGAAAAGGAGAGCGGCCCTGCGCTGAGAGGAGGCGCTGGAGCCGCTCACTGAGACGCGGCGCCGTTCGGGAGCGTAGGACGACGACACCAATTTCCACATGGACTTTATCTCCGCCTTTGGTAACTTGCGCGCGCGCAACTATGCGATCGACGAGATCGACAAGTTCCAAGCCAAGCTCAAGGCGGGCCGCATCATCCCGGCCATCGCGACCGCCACGGCGATGGCGACGGGCTTCGTGCTGCTCGAGTTGTACAAGGAGGTCGCGGGCAAGCCGCTCGATCGCCGGCGCAACCTCTTCGCGAACCTGGCGCTGCCAGGGCCGCTCCTGTCGTTGTCGGAGCCGATGGCGTGCGCAAAGATCAAGTCGGGGCAGCGGTGGGACCCGGACATGTACATGGACGTGGACGAGGTTGCGTACCCCGAAGGGCACTCGCTCTGGGACCAGATCCCCGTCCCCGGCGCGGCGAGCATGACCCTCGAGGCGCTGCGCTCCTGGTTCACGACGCACCACCAACTCGTGCTCACGGAGCTGACGCTGATGCACGGCGCGCACGCGCGCGCTCGCGCCCTTCCTGTTGGAGCGCTCACGCCCGGCACACCTCCCCGCGTCAGGCTCAAAGTCGGTGAGCGTCTTCTCGAGCAGCCGCTCGATTGGCGACGCCGACGCCAACCTCGCGACGCCGCTGCCGCAGCTGATCGCCTCAAAGACGGGCGCCGACACGAGCAAGATGGCCTTCTATGAGCTGTCGGGTGCCATCTTCCAGACCGTCGAGGGCGATGATGCCACGGTCGCCACCATCGTGCTGCAGTTCGACTGACGAGCGCAAACTAGCGCTGGGCGCACGCTCGCCAGTCAGCAGTCTCATCTCCACATATCTCGTGCGCTGACGGCTGAGCCGGGTTGTCGTTGTGGGTTGTCGGCGCGTGTGCGCCATAGTGTGCGCGAGCCGCGACGCGCGCGAAGGAGTACCCAGTACGCGCCGGTCGACAATGTTTCGCGATATCGCCGCAACGCGGCGAAAAAACAATTAGAGCGGAGAACTACCTTAGCGCACCAAAGAGTGGCACCTGCGTCGCGGCGCGCCCATACAGCTTCGGCAGGAGAGCAAGTGCACTCGTGGCCACAGACGGTGGGGGTGGGTGAGCGGCGGAAGGGCCGCCGCCGCCGCCGCCCTGCAGCACCTGGGGCAGGAGCCCAACGGCAGAGGCGTGGCGGCTGCCGCCGCAAGCGCGGAGTGCGCACGCGTGGAGCACGCGCTGCGCGTCCCGCCGCGTCATCAGGGGGAGCAGCGGCGACAGGTAGAGGTGCGAGACGGCGCAGCAGCGGGTCGCTACCTCGGCTGGAACCAGAAGGAAAGCAAAGTCACCCGCGTCGCCACGCCACCTGGGGTGAGGGTAAGGAGAGGTGCGTCACTGTGTGTGTGTGAGTTGTGGTGTGGTGTGGTGTGGTGTGTGTGTGTGTGTGTGTGTGTGTGTGTGTGTGTGTGTGTGTGTGCGTGTGCGTGTGCGTGTGCGTGTGCGTGTGCGTGTGCGTGTGCGTGTGTGTGTGCGAGTGTGTGTTTGACGGGGCTGTGCGCTGCGTGCGCCACCTCCAGCTGGCGGGGAGCAGAGGCGCGGCAGCGCGAAGCAGCACCTCGAGCGCGGGCACGTGCCGATCCGCAGCTGAGAGCTGGCGCAATGCCGCCGCCCACAGCATCCGCAGCGCCGGCTGCCACAAGCCGCCCACTCGCTGCTCCGCCGTCGCCTCGCCGCCGCCGCCGCCGCCGCTCGCCGCCGCCGCACCGGCGATCTGCTCGGCGCACGCCCGCAGCGGAAGGCACAGCAGGCTCTCGAGTGAGCGGGTAGTCGCGTCGTCTGGGGCTTGGGCTGGGCGGCTGACGCGTCGCCGTCTCTCGAGCGACGAGCAGCGAACCAGCAGCAGCTCGGCCGCAGCCACCCACGCCGCCAGCGGCAACGGCGCACCCCCCTCGTGCCTGCCAGGGCAGCTGCCGCAGACAGCCGGAGGCGGGCGCGAGAGCGCCTCAGCCAGCAGCATCACGGCCGCCTCGGAGGGCAAGGAGGAAGCCACCGCCATACTGCCGTTGCCACCGCTGCCTGCGGTGACGGTGACGGCGGCGGCGGTGGCGGCGGCGGTGACGGCGGTGGCGGCGGTGACGGCCGGATCGGCAGCCTCGACCAGCGCAGCTAGCAAGAGCGGCAACTCATCGGCGGGCACATCGCCTCCCCCCTCGGCGGCAGCGTGGTAGGGGGAGGCGAGGCAAGTGGAGGCCACAGCGTCCCACGCGGCGTGCGGGTCGATGGTGCCGCACGCCCACAGCTCCGCCGCGCGCCTGCGAACGCGCGCCGCCCGGTGCTTGGCTTCAAGGACAGCGCCGCAGGGCGAGCGGTCCGGGACGGGAGGGCAGAGGGGAGCGAACAGAGGGGGGGGGGGGGGGGGGGGCAGTGGCGAGCGGGGCGGCGGCGGCGCGCCGTATCGCCAGCCGCGAGGCCAACGAAAGAGGCGAGAGCGTTCCGTCCGAGGCTCCTCGCCCCTCCCCGCCCACCCCTCCGCCCTCCTCTGCTCCTGCCCCTCTCGCAGCCGCCTCCTCCTCGTCAGCGTCCGGCGCGCCCGAGGTAGCCACGAGCATGGGCGCGAGGTGCGCAGAGATGAGCTGCAGCACCTCCGCGCGTGCCTGCCCCCAGAGGGTGACCCCACCGCCCCAGAGGGTGACCCCACCGCCGCCGCCAACGTCGCCGCCGCTGACGGAAGCACCGCCTCCGCCGACGCCACCATCGCCGCCACCACCACTGCCGCCGCCTCCGCCGGCACCGACAGCGGACGCAGCACTGGCGGCAGCACCGGCACCGGCGCCGCGTCCCGACTCGCGACTGCCGCCCGCAGGGACGAGCCCCGCCACTTGTGCAAACGTGAGGGGAGCAAACTCGGCCGCAGTGCGGTCGGCAGCCGCAACGACGCGCAGGCACTCGACCAGCGCCTCGTCCGCCCCCTCCGCGGCCGCAAGCTCTGAGCCACGCGCCGCACCCTCCCCGAGCATTGCACTCGCGCTTCGCTTGAGCCGGCGAGCGCCGTCGCCGCCGCCGCCGCCGCCGCCGCCGCCGCCGCCGCCGCCGCCGCCGCCGCTCGACAGAGCGGCGACCACTGCGGCGGCGTGGCGGCGGGCCGTGAGAAGCGAGGCGAGTCGCGCGAGCGGCGCGAGCGGTGTGAGACCGAACCGCGGAGTGGGGGAGCCGCTGCTGCGCGACATCTTTTGCTGGCGCAGACCGTCGTGCAGCACGTCGAGGAGGCAACGAGCACGTCGAGGGTCGAGGGAGAGCTGAGCAGCGATGGCGGCGCTGATCCTCCCGATCATCCGCGCGCAGCTCGCAGCCTCGCCGCCGGCGGGGGAGCTACCGCCACCGGCGGCCGCCAATGCGGCTGCAGCGACGCGCTTGGCGCAGAAACGGAGGAGGAGGGAGATGCCGTTGCGCTGGAGCTGAGCAGACGAGGGAACCAAGGCCGAGACGGTGGCGCACACCACGTCGGTGCAGGCGTCGAGCTGGCTTGACGCACACAGCGCCGGCAGGAGCGCGAGCGCTGCGGGCGTCTTTGGCTGCTGCAGGCAGATCACGCAGCAGGCGCGCGGCTTTCGCTCCACCGCGGCGGACTTGATCCGCACCAAGCTGTCGATTTCGGCCGCACCAATGAGGGCGCTCACGGGGTGCAGCGCGGAATGCGGCTCGACAGCGAGGCGGGACTCGAGCGACTCGAGGCAGGAGTGCATTGGGCCGTTGGTTCTTGCCGCCGGTGGGGTTTTCTTGGGAGTCTATCGGTAAGCGCGGGTTAGCGCGGGTTAGTGCTCACTAACCCGGCACGGGTCAGCACGGGTCAGAATGGGTTACCATAACCCGGCACTAACCCGGCACTAACCCGGCACTAACCCGGCACTAACCCGGCACTAACCCATGCGGCTGGGGGGCATACGTCAGCATGGGTTATGGTAACCCGAGACTAACCCGGCGCTAACCCGGGTTAGTCTCTCCCTCGGACGGCTTGGCTGCAGCTGCCCCTTGGTGCTCTCCGCGGCAACGCCGTTATCGGTAAGTTGAGCGTGTATGGAGTGAGTCTATCGCGTATCGGTAAGCGCGGGTTAGCGCGGGTTCCACACGGGTTAATCCACACTAACCCAGCACGGGTCAGCACGGGTTAGAACGGGTTACCATAACCCGACGCTCACCCGGCACTAACCCGGCACTAACCCCCGGCACTAACCCGGCACTAACCCGAGACTAACCCGGCGCTAACCCGCGCTGCTCGAGGGCC